AGAGAGACAGTGTGAGAAGGCGAGGGTCAGAGAGAGAGGGAGATATAGAATCCGAAACAGGCTCCAGGCTCTGAGCTGTCAGCATAGAGCCTGACGCGGGTCTTGAACCCACAAACTGTGAGATCATGACCTGAGCTGAAGTCGGCCACCCAACCGACTGAGCCACCCAGGAGCCCCATAAAAAGAATTTTTTGAATATGAACAGTGGCCACCCTCACAAATTTCATTGAGAGTAAAAGCTGAAATAGTAATAATGGCCTGAACATCCTGTATGATCTGCTGCTACCCTTGCCCTGATGTTTTTTGACTTTGTCCTCTGTTGCTCTCCCCTTCAGTTTATTCCAGCCATGCTTTCTGACTGTTCTTCAGACCTGCCAGGTGGGCGTAGTTTGCTTCTCACCTCAGTGACTTTAAGTTTCAAATGTAGTTTTTCCAGTCCCACGCTCCCCTTTCCCTACCTTGTTTTTGCTTCTCCCCATCTGACATGTATATTTTACTTGTCTGCTTGCCGCTCCTTCCATGAGCATGTAAACTTCACCAGAGCATAGAATTTTGTCTGTTTTGTTTGTTGTATTCTGAGCACCTAAACTAGCACTAGGCACACAGTGGGCACTCAGTATTTGTTGAATAAATGACTTGAGTCGCTACCCTACTGCACGCTGTACACTGTGCTAGACTGTGGGTAGTCACAATGAGGGGCCCCTCTCCTCATGGAGCATAGATTGTATGGGAGACACAGTATAGCACATAAGTGTATGTACAGAATCAAAGAAAAGCTCTCAAGGAAGGAGCTTGGTTGTATGAGAGTAAACAAACTAGGAAGCTGATAGGAGGGGTGGGGAGGCTTCCTCCCATCAGGGGTCAAAAGCTGGGATCTGACAAATGAACATTAAGTAGCTTCTGTAAGTGGTGTGCCTTTTCTCATTCTTGAAATTTTCTTTTTTAAGTTAAAGATGGGTCCTTCTAGACATTGATTCCTTTTATTAATCTTTGATTTGTGCCATTGTACTTGTTTCTATTTCATTGACTATCTTAGTTTCTTCTACTTTGAGAAGATTTAGTTTGCAATTATTTTTCTGACTTGTTGAGATTGATATTTAGATTACTAATGCATTTATGGTTATAAATTCCCTCTATACGTAGTGTCAGCTAAATCCCACAAGATTTGATAATAGTATTTTCAGTAGACCTTTCACATTGTTAATTTAATTACTGATATATTTGCATTTAGAAATAATATCTCAGGGTGCCTGGGTGGCTCAGTCAATTAAGTGTCCGACTTTGCTCAGATCATGATCTCACGGTTCATGGGTTCGAGCCCCGCATCGGGCTCTGTGCTGACAGCTCAGAGTCTGGAGCTGTTTCAGATTCTGTGTCTCCCTCTCTCTCTGCCCCTCCCCTGCTCATGCTGTGGTCTCTCTCTCTCTCTCTCAAAAATAAACATTAAAAAAAATTTTTTTAAAGACCAACAAAAATCATCATTTAAAAAAAACAAGAATTTTTTTTTTTTTTTTTGCTCAATTGGTTAATATCCCATCTCCTTCCATAAATTACTTGGGGCAGGTCTGGGATAAGTAAGATCGTAGAATTGTGATTACAAACAGGGGGAAAATGGTTGGAAACTAAGATAAAGCCAGGAATAAAGTTAGCATTATAAAATATATTTCATATAGTTCTGTATAGCTTTTAGAAGTGGAGGAAAACTACAGTATTTTCAAATGTTCCAACTTGAAAAAAATTCACTATAAGATCTTTAAATTACTCACAACTACCCTGAGCAGTTTTAAGTATCATTTATGAAAATCTGTTCTTACTGTCCTTTCCAAGGAAATAATCTTATGTAATGTCAGTCTACTTTGTGAGTGACTTGTTAAAGCTAACTAACATTCCATCAAGTTTATCAAAGTTTACTAAACTTTATTAATTATATTCATCAAGTAGTTAAGTGATTGTTCTGTTTGGTTGAAAATGCTGGAACGGTAATTGTACTTTATAATGTAATGTGACGTAAGGGAAATGGTGTAGAATTGTGATCAGGAAGACCAGAGATCTAACTTTGGTTTTGAGGTTGGATTCCTACAAGCTAGACAGCGAGGTACTTACTGCTTATGGTAATAGGAGTACGGATCAACAGGAAGGAACTAACAGAATTTAACTGGGGAGATGGAAACACTCTCTGGTATTGGGATGTTTGGTTTTTTGTTTGTTTATGAAAGGCACTTAAATTCTCCTTTCACGCTGTTAGTAAGTATTCCAGAATTGGTACATGGTTATTACATGTACTGTTCTGTTAACTTTGTGTCTGTACATTTAAAGCTTTCCACAATAAAATGGTTTTTTAAAGCAACATTCTGGTCTACCATGTTAGGAAATCAGAAGACATTTAGAATCCAGAAATCAAGAAATAGCCATATAAGCATATTATTTAGAAACGTGGAACGGGCAAAAAGGTTAAAAGATATCAAAATGGTTGTGTCAGGGTCAGGACTGTGTGTGGAGAGGGCTGGAGTCTGGGGTGTCTATTTTGTAAGACTTTCAGTGTTACTTGATTTTTTTTTTTAACCTTATATATGTATCACTTTGATAAGCCAATATGTTTGTTCTGTGGATTTCTGCATTGTTTTCAGGGAAAACATCGACATGATCCTATGTGAATAGTTAGAGACCAGTGTTTGGAATATATAAAAATTCTATTTGCCGCTTATAATTTTGGCAGTATGCCCAATTATTTCCATTGCCAAAGGTGGTGATTTACATTTGAATTCCTACTTCAGATGAGTGGAGCTAAGAAGTTGATTGCATATAGTTTCTTCCTGTTTGCTCTTGCCCTCCTGCAGTTTGTTTTTTACACAAGAGTCAAGAGTGATCATAAATAAGCTTATATTACTCTCCTATTTGAAAGCCACTGAATGCCTTCCCACTGCAGTTAGAAAAATTCAAACACTTCATCCTGGCCTACAAAAAAGGCCATAAATGATGTAAATGATTGGTTGTCTCATTCTCTTGCCATTCCTCCCTCCTCACTGTGTCAGCCTCCATGGCCTTAGCACGCTCATCGCCCATTCTTGCCTCAAGGCCTTTGTGCTTGCTCTTCCTCATGAGATTGGCTGCTTTTCATCATTCAGGATTTGATTCATGCAGGATTTAATTTAGTTTCTGGAAAAGGCCATCTCTGACCATCTAGCTCTCTCCACCCCTTCTCCATCTAGAGCAGAGTGGTGCTGAGTGCGGTCCTCAGACCAGAAGCTGGAGCTGGGATTTGTTTGGTTTGGAAATGGCCTAGGCCCTAACACAGACCTGCTAAAGGAAAACCTGCATTTTAATGAGATCCCAATGTGATTATATGTACTTTTAAATTTTCAGAAGCTCTAGTCTTGAATAATCTCCCTGCTCACTTTCCCCACATATCTGTTAACAGTTTCATCCATTTCTGAAGATAACTTTGTCATTGGGTCACCTGTGCACTTCTCCCTAAATGGAGTTCCACAGGGCACCACCTCTTCCAACTTGTTCTCTCCTGGATTCCAGCACCTGACCCAGTATCTGCACCTAGAACATGCACAGCGAGTATTTGATGTGTGAAAGAATACATGAATGTGGAGATTATTTTGTGTTTCTCAAAAAATTGTACAGTTATCGTATAACTGTACAATAAAAATCAGGACTCTCCCTTGCTTGTAAAAAAAAAACTGTCTTTAAAATAGTGTGACGGGGCACCTGGGTGGCTCAATAGCTTAAGCGTCCGACTTCGGCTCAGGTCATGGTCTTGCGGTTCATGAGTTCGTGTCATGTGCCGACAGCTCAGAGCCTGGAGCCTGCTTCGGATTCTGTGTCTCCCTCTCTTTCTGCCCTTCCCCACTTACACTCCGTCTCTCTCTCTCTCTCAAAAATAAACATTAAAAAAATGTATAGTGTGACAAATAGAGAATCACTTATTTATCCTTGTCTTCAGGTAGTTTGTTTTCCAAACCAAAGTTTAGGTTTTTTTAAGTGCTTTGCTATGAACTTAAAACCATGACTCATGTTTTCTTTCTGGTATTTTAAAAAGCACGCTCATAGTTAGTTATCTTCAAAGGTTTTCATCTAAAGTAAATGTTAGTTTGTTATTTGAATCAAATTTTACTAGATCAGAAATAATCTTTTTAAAAAATAGGATAATATGATCCTGTAAATGTGAGTGAAATGCAAAACTTGAGGTTAAACTGCAAATAAAAACTGATGGAACAAATGGTGTATCAGTTTTTTACTTTTGAGGTAGTTTCTGCTATTCTACATATAAAGATATGTTCCCAAGATACGTTTCCTATTGCATATCCTGGTGAAATTTGTCAGGAAGCGACACTGCAATCTACAAACTTTGAATGAAGAAATAGGGCAGCTTAAGTCAGTGGGGGTGTTTTTGTTCCCCCACACCCTTCCAGGAATATTTGGCAATGGCTGAAGACATTTTTGGTTGTCACAACTGGTGGGGAGTACTACTAGCATCTAGTGGGTAGAGCCCAGGGATACTGCTGAACACCTTGTCATGCACCAAACAGCCCCCGACTGGAAAGAATTTAGCCCAAAATGTCAGTGGTGCTGCCGCTAGGAGACTCTGGCTTAAGTTGAGAGAGCCCTTCCTCTGCAGATACTAAGCCATCAGAGAAAGAGTACTTTGGGGGCGCCTGAGTGGCTCAGTCAGTTAAGCGTCCAGCTTTGGTTCAGGTCATGATCTCGCAGTTTGTGAGTCTGAGCCGCGTGTTGGGCTCTGTGCTGACAGCGAGGAGCCTGCCTGGGATTCCCTCCCTCTCTCTGTCCTTCTGTGCTTGTGTGCGTGTGTGCTCTCTCTCAAAGTAAACATTTAAAAAGAAAAAGAGTACTTTGTCCTACCTTTTGCATAAGAGAATATATAGAAATAGGCAACTTAAAGATTCAGATGGGTATATTGGCATGGCATTCTCAGGTAACCTTATATTTTTTAAAAGACTGAAAAAGGGTTATTGGTTTTCCTTATTTTACAGATGGGGTCGAGGATTTGGTCTTTTGGGTTCCATTTTTGGAAAGGATGGTGTATTAAACCAGCCAAACAGTGTCTTTGGACTTATATTTTATATACTACAGTTATTACTTGGTAAGTATACAGCAATACAAAAACTAAGTTTGTTTTGTTGTATTTCCATTTAGTACTTTGTGTCTTTTCCCGGAAATGTCTTTGTAGTAAATAGCAGCATGTTCGTGATAGAACCACTTGTCTGCAGCACACTTTTCTGCTGTGAACATTGTGTTCCCCAAGATTTTGATCATGCTCATGCTGAGCTTGGTATCTGTCGGTGTTTAATCGACGATGGCAACATCCCATAGTGTCCGGAAAAACCAGTCCCAGTCAGGGAACTTACTACTCCAAACAGTCTTCCCTGGAAACGTTTTTACTTATTATGTTATATACTGTGCAGTTAAACATGTTACGCACTGAGAAAACATCAACAGTAAGCAATGTACATGCTGCCATCACCTTCACACCTCTGCTGTCCCCGTTGCTTTCTGTTCTTTTTACTTAATTTTATGCGAACCCTTATGTTGTTTCTCCTCTTCAGTTTTTTGTTGTTGATATCAAGGTTTCGATTTTTTTTTTTTATGCTCAAAAACACTGTGGTGATCAACATTTTGAAAGTCCCCTTCACACACACCTCCTGCTTTGAATTAGTTCCGCAAACTCAGTTTCTAAACATGGGATGAAGGAGTCAAAAGACATAGATTTTTTTTTTAATGTTTAATTTTTTAATTCATTATCTACAAATTATAGCCATTATTATATTTTAATTTCCTTACATTGTCACTTTTATTATTGGGATCCTGATAATCCGTTTTCATATTTGTTAGAAACATTTTACCCATTCTCTAGCCTTTTTTATGTTAATTTGGTGAATTTTGATCATACGAAATTTTTTATGCTTTTAGAGGTAAATCCATCCATTTTTGTCTTTGGGTTTTAATTGTTAATATTCTGCCCTGTCATCTGCCAGCTCTTTTGTGCTCTTCCGTCTAGCTGAAGTTCATTTGTTAGGAGGCAAATTGTGAATGTAAGGTTTCCTAAATATTCCTTATCAGGTTTGCCCTGTTCCATATCCAATAGAAATACAAAAATACGAGGATATTCATAGCAGTACAGTTTAAAATAGCAAAATATTGGAAGCGTTCAAGCATAATGGCTGAACAAATTAGGTTACCTCCATATTAGAAAATACTATAAAGCCATTAAAGGAAAAAAGTAGGTCTACATGTATATTCTAGAAGGATCAAGACAGAGGTTAGTGAAAAAAGCAAATTGTCATATAATAGATATAAGTTTATGTTTTATATATATATATATATAAATATATGCATATATATATGCATAGAAATGCATAGAAAAGGGTCTGGTGGTTGGAGGCCAGGAGTGAGATTTTTATTTTTTTTATTCCATTTATTCTGTTTGGATTTCTAAAGAAGAAATATAAGCCAAAATTAAAATAGCCCAAGACACGCATTTGACTATGTTAATTTTTGGAGATAGAGATGGAACAAATTTCTATTTATAATATTTGATTTGTGAATTTTCTTATATATATATATTTTTAAATCATGTGTATCCTATGTATTTTTTCTGTTCACATTTTGTGCATTCACATGCATTTTAATGTCTGGAGGCACATTGAAGGCACATGTGAACTCATTTAACAGTTTTCCAGAGCACATCATCTTCACTCCCTTCTAAGTTGTTTGAGAGACAGCATTTTTAATATAATTTTTCCATAGGCAATACATTCACAAGTTCAAAAGTAAAAATAAATGAAATGCTGTCCAGCGAAAAGCCTGCCCCATCCTGGTCCCCCTCTGCCTACTTCCTACTGCCTTTCATCCCTAACTGGTATCTGTTGTTGCTGTAGAATTTCTTTAGGCATATCCAAGAAAATACAAATATATCATCTTAATTTTCCTGCTTTTTAAAATATAAAAACCAGATTCTATACATACTGTTCTGTATACTGTTTTCTTTTCTGCTTGACTGATACATTGTGGTGATATTTCCATAGCAGTCCACTAAGTGTCTTCATCTTTCCTTACAACTGCAAAATACTCTATTGCTTGGTAGTACTGTCATTTATTTAGAGTTATAGCACATTGTAAATTCCACTGGGAGCTGTATCCCAAGCCACTGGCTACGTCACATTACATTAGGACAGGTTTGGTACAATAGTACTTAACCAATAGCCAGCATTTATGGAGCATTCAAAGCACTTTATACCTTTTAGCTCTTTTATTTATCTTTTTTTATCTTTTTTTTTTTTTTTAAGTAAGCTCTAAGCCCAACTTGGGGCTTGAACTCACAACCCTGAGATCAAGAGTTGCACTCTCTACTGGCTAAGGCACCCGGGAGCCCCATCTATTAGCTCTTTTAATCCACACATCAGTATTAGGAGGTAAAAAAAATGAGGTAAAAAAAACCTCAAGGAACAGAGTGACATGAAAAAAGTAAACAACAGCTCATACATTGTTGGAACTAACTTTCTTTTTAAAGTTAACGTGGCAGCATTAATTTTTGAAGTGTTAGACATTTAGCATAGATGAGGTTAGCAAACTGTTTAGGGGCCAGGCAGAAGACCATTTAGGCTTTGCTGGCTGTCACAGCTACTCAGCTCTACCACAGATGTTGCATAAATGAGTGAGCGTGGCTGGGTTCCAGTATGTCTGGAAGTGAGATTGGCTGGTCCCTGCCTGTAAGTAATCCAACAGTTATCTTAGGCTTGAAGAGCTTTATGAGAGGTCATACTTTAGTACTGACCAGTCCTGTGGGCAAGTCAGGCCTTTATGGTGAGGCTATAGCCTCCAGGCAAGCTTCTCATTCAACAGGAGGTGGGAATTTCAGCTCCTTAATTAACTTCTTCAAACCTCCTACCACCAATTATTTTTTCCTATTTGTGTTTTCCTTGTCCATTAGTTGTTGGGCAGGAGGGTAGTTTAATGCTCTAACTCCTCTGTCCATGAGAATAAGCGTGTACGTTCTCACTACTGTTGGTTACAGGAAATTACAAAACAATACATGTGAAGATGTTAGATAGCATTGAGAACGCCCTGGTTTAGCGCACATAACTGCCTTTTTTCTTGATCCGGTTTGACCCACATGTGGCCAACTGGTCAAACGTGGTTTCCGTTATCTTCCAGGCCGAGCCCTTTCTGAAATGTTTACTGCAACTTCTTTTTTTTCTTCTTCAGCAGCATATTGGTATAGTCATCTCCCATTATGGAATTTTGATAAGTTTGATCTAAACATAGAAAGCAAATTTTACTTCCCACAGATGGGGAGCCTCCAGTGTAAAGGCCAAGGGGAAGTGTGTCCTGCTTGGGAGAGAAGATGGTGGTCCTTACCTTCCTTTATCCACTAGGAAGGATGAGGGTGTCAATTTTACAGATCGGCTTCATTGCATCATATGATTACAAGAGTGCATATTTTCTTTGTGTGACTTAACAAAAGCTAGTTTATGATAGAAGTAATATTTCACCTAGAATACTGACAAACCAAAAACACTGCAGCTATAAAACTGGTATTCTGTGTGCAAAAGTCAGCCTGCATAACCTTAACAAAATAGAGGAGTAACTTTTTGTTCTCAAATTCCATAGCATTTTGCAGTAAAATCAGTATTCCAGCACTGCAGCAAATCGCAGGATGCTAGCTTTTAACTCTGAAACTTTCTCTCCATTGTCAAGGTCTGACAAAGCCACATGTCTCTTTCTCTTGCAGGCATGACAGCAAGTGCAGTCGCAGCTTTAATCCTCATGACGTCCTCCATCGTGTCTGTGGTGGGGTCATTGTACCTGGCCTACATTCTGTACTTTGTGCTGAAGGAGTTTTGCATCATCTGTGTCATCACATATGTGCTGAACTTCATTCTTCTTATCATCAACTACAAACGACTAGTTTATTTGAACGAGGCCTGGAAACGGCAGCTGCAGCCTAAGCAGGACTGACAGCCTGGCCAGCTCCGGACTGATGGCCTGAAGTCCCCTTTTCCATTAAGTTTATTTTGCAGCAGGTTTTGTTTCCTTTATTTTTAAATTCTTCACAACAGACACTTTCCCTGAGAATCTTAAACTGATTTTTTAAAATCCTGTAAATTAGAGGGGGCCCTAGCTATTTTGTGTCAATCTTCATTTTAAATATGGATACAAAAAAAAAAAGGATATGCCGAGCCAATCAAAGACAAGCTTTAACTTTACTTTAAAGATGTTTCTGAAATAATAAAATGTAGCCCTAGCCCCCTGCCCTTGATTGTAAAGTGAGCAACTATTGCTAGTAATTCTCTAATGTGTATAAATTCAATTTCAGGTATAACAAATGTGATCATGACATGAAAATATTTTAGGATAGATACTGTATTAAATATTGCCATGTTTACAATATGTAATATGTTTTTAGCCGATGGATTTAAACATGTAGGTTCAACTAGAATCCATTTATGTGATATTTGTAAATAAAGGTAGAAATATTGGATCCATCCCTGCAGAACTTACTGTACAGTTTAGTTGAAGTGTAGCGATGAAGAATTGTCAGCTCAACGTTGACCGAAGAAATAGGGAAAATAGTTAAGTCCATACAGAGCAACTTGTGAAAAGTACTGACAGCTGTGGGTCCAGCACTGACAGCAGAAATAATAGGGTAGTTGGTTCCCTTTCATCTCCTTCCTCAGAAAGGAAGAAACTAAATTTGGACATTCAAGTCAAGCTTGTGTCTAGTCATAAAACTGGATTGAGTATAACCTTACCAAATGAAGTCATGTGACCAGACCATGTCCAAGGCCTTCAGGACACTAAAAATGGGGAAATGGGTAGATTTCTTTGGAGAAAAGTTGGAAACATTAATATGGCATTTTTAGGTAAAGTCTCTTACAGCAGTTGAATTTTCATGCAGATATTTTTCCTTAACATCGGTGCCAGTCGACCAAACAGTATTAGGACCTTGAAATAACCAGTATAATCCCAGTTGCTCCAGAGTAGGATTGCTCTTGGGTAGCTCTGTAGTATTTCCTGTTTCATTCTGCACTAATTGGATATCTAGTTCTTAACTGTTTTAGAGTCAATATTAGATTTGTAATTTTAGGGCTGACAACGCTGCTCAGTTTGCTTAATTGGGAGTAGTACAGGTAGAAATATCTGAAGGTGAAATACACTAATGGTGTCACTACTCTTTCTAGTAACTACGCAATGCATAGGTTTTAAAGGTGATTTGAATAAACCCAAATGAAATGTGACAGTATGTTTCTATGGTTAACACCTTATACCAGAATGTTAAAAGTGCCTTCTGTCTTAAATCTCAAACCAAATATTTTGTGTGTTGAACTTGGGCAGAAGTGTCCTTCCTTCCTCTTACCATGAAGTAGAAAACCTGCATCAGTCTATACAAAGGTTCTGTACGATCATTTTGTTCCTTAGATTGAGAAATAGTAGCAATGCTTTTGCTTCCAATTAGATTAATCATTATGTTAAAAATAGACCGGTAACTTTTGAGTACTTTGATAAGCCGCCTTTTTGAAGGGAGGGGACAGGCTCTGCTCTGTACACCGTACTGTGTAGAGTCAGCAACTGTTCAGCAGTTTCCAACTAACTGTCCTAAGTGACGCAATGTATTTTTCTGGCCCAAGGCAGGTATCAAATCTGAACTGTAATGAACTTTCAACAGGTTTTAACCAGTTTTTGTAACAGTCGAATTCAGACTTCAAGGCTGTTTTCCCATGAATGTGAATATTTCAATGCCTGTTTTATTATGTATGTATTGTTCTTGTTTCTAGTTAAAGAACTCTAGAAAGCATTGATTGGATGTCTGGTGTTTATGGAGAAACAAGTCGTAATGTTGAAGAACTTGTTCAAAGAGGTCATCTTACAGCAGTGCTTCCAGGTCTGCCAAGCAGTTTACTGGTTCATTCTTTGAGGCTCGAGTGGAAAGGGTTAACAGTGAAGACTTCTGTGGTATATATAACACTGGTTGTGCTAAATAAGTTCCTCGTGTCCCAATTTCAAATGGATTTTCATCAGATTCTGTATCCATCAGCAGAGTATAGTTAAAGCTTGTCTTGATGTTGTGTTCTTGCAAATGTCTTCAACTCTCATATGATAAAATGTAAAAATGTCCAGCCAGACCCTGCAGGGTTTTCCTTTGCTTTCCTAAGCCTTGGGGGAAACACCACTGTTTCAGTTGTACAAAAATTGTTGCCACATTCCTAAGAGCCCAGTAGAATTAATATCTTTTTTTTTTTTCTCCTCACTGAGCGATGAAGGTGAGCTGCCTGAAATAACAGCATTGTAACGCCAGTATGTCAGTAAGTAACAGGACCCCAGCGGTGTGTTGGGTTATTTTTGCCCTGGAAGAATTTAGGCTCCCCTCTACATCCTCTCTTCCACTCCAAGAAGACACCAAGCTATAAAATCTTAGGATCGTTAGGACTCATTTAGACTGGATATTTGAAACACTGCAGTGTTACTAGCCACCAGCGTTGAAGAACATTGGTGGGGCGGTGGGGAGAATTGGATTTCTGTTTTTTGCAGTAATCCCACGCTTCCTGGTTTTGGGATAAGTTGTATGTAACAAATGAAGCCTCTTATTTACTTGGTAGTCATTTCATTTGAAGAAATAAGAGAAACTGTGGTTAGATGATAAATTCTAGGCAATCTAGGTGGTTTGGAGGATTTCATTCAGTTTTGCATTGCAGCTAGGTGCTTTCCGTGAAGGTAAACTGGTGAAATAACTCAGGTTTAACTAGCTGTGTGCCAGGAGTTACTTTTACTTTATGTATGTCACCTCTCTTTATTACTTTTGAAGATGTTGAAAGCATTGACTATTTTCATACAAAGATCTGTTATTTGGTACAAGAGATCTTTGGACCCTACTAGGTAGGATATAGGACCAAGACTACAGTGAAATTAAACCTGTTTGTTGGCTTTTGTTTGCTTGTATCTCATTCATATTTTTAAGATTATGAGCAAAAGTGCAAAGTAATCTTCAGCAATTCGTAACTTGAGATTAGAACCACTGCTTGACATGAGTGAATGCTGACAGATCTTGTCTTAAAAATTCATATTGGACAAATGCCAACAAGAAAATCACTATCATTGGCAACCTATTGGGAAGGAATACCTAATCTGCAACCTTTGTCCTCATGTATTTTCCCCCAAGATATAAGCATTGGTGGAACATTTCTATTCAGACATTTTAGGCAGCACTAATGATTCCTAATCTGTGAGAACAACCCTTCAATCAAACAAAAGGGGCAGGGGTGGGAATCCAGGCTACTTGGTTTTTGTTTTTTGTTTTACAAATTAGCCCAGAAAAGATGAAATGTTTTGTTATAAAACTGTATTAAGCATGGCCTAAGTATTAGGTGTATGATCTGTATAGTATGTTCCATCAAAAATATTTATTAATAGTGCTTTCAGCTCCGGAGTAAACATTCATTTAAAGTGGAGTTCACTGGGCAGACTTCCCCTTTAATATAGATAGAAATACTCTTTACCAGAGATTTAGGACAGTTTTGCTAACTGGTAAAAAAACAAATGTAAATATGTAAGAATGTTTATTTGTTGCACATAACTTTTTTGGTATAAAATAAATGTAGACGTTACCTGTGGAAGCTGTATGGCCATCCTTCTTACACTGCAGTATTACATTGCAAACATGAAGCTGCAATGAATCCAGTCCTCCTATAAACTATTCTTGAAGCTGATACTGTAACTCCATTTCTACAGGTGTCCTGAGTTGATTCTTTTTCCCTTAAATTAGAAGTAATTTATAGAAGACACAGGCAGAACTCAAGAGATTCCAGTACTGGAATGCGTATGGGCTTATGATGTGTATGGTTGTGAAGAATTAATGAAAAAGGAGTTAACTGCTTAGAGTTCTGTAAGCACATGGCACGTGCTGATCAGATCCTGCCCACAGCTTTACTTCAGCTCCCCTTGAAAGTTCCACTCAGTCTCCTAAAAAGGTAACATTTGCAAGGAAGTTGAATCCATTTAAAGTACAGTTCAGCCATATTTTATTGAATATAACAAATGCATTCTCTAGAACCTTAGGATTTAGGAAATGGACCTTACCACCCCTAACTTATAAAAGTAACTGTAAAAGTGTATCTGTTTAATTTTTTTTAATGTTAAGTAAAGAGTTCTGAGTTATTCATTGACATTAAATGGAACACAAAACTTGATTCCTTCAAGGAACTTACGTTCACTGGTAACAAACACCAAAGCCCTAGAATCCCTAATTTAATATCTGAACCAACAACACCTGCATTTCTTAAAAGGCGGTCTAAAGATGGCCACTAAAAGGAGGTTAAATTATCTTTACTATATCTTCCCTGGGGTTTGGAAAGGAAGGGTAAAAATGGGTATGCATTGAGACATGTGGAATCAACCACAAGTGAAGTGAACCAGGTTCTGTATTAAGAACTGCATTGGTTCATGGTCCTCCATTTGATTGGACACCAAAGGGAGTCTTTTCCCAAACCATTGAGCTTTGTTTTTAATGTTTGTTAATTTTTGAGAGAGAGAGACAGAGCATGAGCAGGGGAGGGTCAGAGAGAGAGGGAAACCATCTGAAGCAGGGCTCCAGGCTCCATGCTGACAGCACAGAGCCCAACACGGGCCCCGAACCCACAAGCCATGAGATCATGACCTGAGCCAAAGTCGGACGCTTAACTAACTGAGCCACCCAGGAGCCCTAAAAGCATTGAGCTTTTAACCAGAACGGATACTGACATCTTAGGAGTAATGTACCTTACTTGCCTTAATGGAGCCTGTGGAACAGGAAGGGGTGTGATTCCATAAGGAAAGACCATCCTCTAGGAGCAAGGCAGGTGGCATCACCCAGAGGTACAAACCCCTAGACTACTTGTCTGCAGGCCCAGCCTCTTTAAGAGGTGGACCCATGGGTCTTTGTCACCTCTGTCCATTTCTGTCAAGACTAGACTATGGCTGAGGTTGGAATAATGTCCTGGAAGAACTGGTAAGCTCTGAGCTCCCTTCTGATTCAGACATTCTTCAACTCTTACCTTTCTTATGCTTATTTGTCAGCTTAACTTTGTGGAAATTGGCACACAGACCTTGTTCATTATTCCAGTAACATCACTTTCTGTAACTTCACTTGGGATGTGAGCTCATCTGTGAAGCTGAAGAAGCAGTTGTCTTTTCCTCACATGCCTGGCTTGCTTCACAGGTCCTGGGGGCCCGAGGGCTGTCAGGCTAGTCCTTTGGAAGTGCGATCTGCGGCTTGAGTGTGGAAGCAGGTTTCGCAAGAGTCTGTACACAGTTAAGTTTGAAACAGCCTAACACATAAAAAGAATTTCAGATGCTTTCCAGCAGTACAGATCATTGAATTTATGGATGGTCACTTTTAAGAAGTCTTTATTCCCATACTATAAAAAGCCTTTATTTTCACGTCTAACATTCCCTTCTGGTAAATTAGTACAAACTCCGGGCCGGAAACTTCCCAGTCTGCCATGCAAAGTCCAGGGCTGCTGTGGAAGTTGGCCCCTGCTAGTGGAGGAGGGGCTGTGATCTGCTCGGGTCAGTAGAGGTAGTTCTTGCTTTAAAGAGTCAATGGGCTGTTTCCCAAACACTGTGACTTCACAGCTGACCAGACGTACCTGGTTTCATTGGCAAGTTTCCAGTATCTCTCTCGCAGAAGGAACGCTGCCCCTTTTGGTTGTCTCTGACGTGTGAAGATCCCCTTTTTGTTCCCCATTACTCTCTGCGGTGCTAAAAACAAGGCAGAAAGGTATTTCAGATGACTTCCGATGGGCCAAAGGGGAACCAGCCTGGAGTCAAGCTGGGCCCGGGACAGAATGTCCTTCTATATAAAGTTTAGGATTGCTTGGTCTGAAGTGGCCACTTAACGTAAGGTTCAAGATTTAACCTGCTGCTCCCCCAAATACCTCAGCTCCCTGGTATGTTATTTTTGTGGTGGTGGTTGTCTCTTAGAAGAAAATCTAAAATTATTTCTCTTTTATCTGCAAAATAAGGTTTGCAACATGAGCACCCAGCTGTCCGGTGATGAGAGTGGGGACTGAGACAGAGTTACCCTGAGAAAGGCTTGGGCTTCTCTGAAGAGCCAGTTCTAGTGGGAGCTGGAGTCCCGACGAGGCCAGGGTGCCTCGGTGGGCTCTACAGATTCCAGAGCTCCCCACACACGCTTCCGGCTGGGTTCTCGCTGCTGGTGGCTGGTCGGCTGCCCTGCAGCAGCTGAGGCTGGGAAGGAAGCAAAGCCGCCCACAGGCTCCGAGCCCACCTTCTCTCTACCTCAGGTGAAACCACAGCTTCTATTGAGTGGGAAGTTCTCTCCATGATAAGCAAACGCCAGGCGCTGTACCAAGCGCTTCACCACATGAATTCCTCCATTGACCTGCAAGGTGGCTCAGCCCCACTTACAGGCTTAGGAACGGGTTGGATCATCTGTCCGTAGCAACACGGCCCATCTCTTCCTACCCAGAGCCAGTGCGCCCAGGCACGAAACCAGACTTAAGGGGCCGTCGGTCTCATTTGCCAAACAGAAGAGAGGCTTGAGTTCTCGTTCCTTTTTTTCTCTACCTCCCTCTTTCCATTCTAATTTTTAATTAAACTTTCACCTTCCAGAGACTTGTCTTTCCCTGTAATAGGTTATAATTCCCACTACTACCAGATCCTTCCTTACCTCCCCAAATCGCTATGCTAAGCTTATGGTATATCAAGAAACCAATAACACCTAAAGGCACAGAAAGAAAAGGGATACAGGATGAATGGCACTGAAGGGGCCCTTATGTCTCCCCACCTGAGAAAGAATGCAGACGGTAGGCTCTCTGAAGACTTCCAGACCCTCCCACATCCCACGTTGACACCTGCAGTTGGTAAACCTGCCTTCTACGAGTGAACGATGTAACACACACCAACATATCCTAAGTTTCCTGGGCTTTGTACTGTACTACTCTGGAGTACTAAGCGGATCCCACACGTGACTCCAATGCTAGGTCCACTCTTTCCACACGCTGTTGTGAAACAGACAAAGGCGTGCTGGTCATTTTTGCCTCAAAATAATACATCCTCCATTTGCTTTTTTACCATAAAATGATTTGGGAAGCAGGCAAGTGACTGCTGCTTGCTAAACACAAGTTACCTTTCCTAGGAAATCCTCACGTAGCCTACACTGATTAGAGCTTTCCCCCTCTGGTTTCCACTGTTCTTACAAACAAATGTCTTGAACTAAAAGGCCAATCTGAAAAAAATGAGAAACGGTACACTCCGTAAACCCAACTGCCACTTACACTGGTTAGTCATAAAATCGGCAAAATTCCAGATGAGCTCTCCAACCACGTATTCTTTGCGTTTTTGGTCCAGAACCAAATGATACTGCTCCAGCAGACCTTTCTGGTATTCCTCACTGAACATCAGAGGTGGGTCCTGGAATTCAAGGCAGAGAGAGAGGTTAAGAGGCAGAACTGGCAGAATTGTAAATGTTAGATAAAAATAAAGATCCATGTGACGTGACCAAAATATCCGTCTCCACAGCGGGCTGGAGTGACTACAGGACTCGCCGGTATGGGTGGGAACACAGCCAGGGTGTGACGTAGCCCAGAGTAAAGAAAAGAGATTGTTTAAGGA